CCAGCACTCCGCTGCAGCCCTGCTGCGCTGCCCCTGCCCTACTCGACGTGGCCCTACTCGACGCACGCTGGCTGGCCCCGGACACGAGAGAAGCTGCCATCTCGCCCAGCCCCTACCCTTATGTCGGGCCTGTCCCCCTACAGGGGGATTTTCGACGAAAAAGCAAGAATACCCCCAAAATATCCCCAAAAGGCCAAAAAATATTCAAAAAATAGTCCCCAGACTATTTTTGGACTATGTTTTGACTATTTTTGGGGTATTTTTTTTTTTCCGTCGAAAATCCCCCTGTAGGGGGACAGGGCCGACTTAACCCTAATTACCCCCGTCTCTGGTCTGCTCAGGCCCTCGGCGCGCGCCCGCTCTTCGCGGCCGTTTCGGTCGGCCCCTCGGCCGCCGGTCCCCCGCGCGGGCGCGGCCGCCCCTCTTCCTCAGTTTCGTCTTCCGTGGCATTTCCTCCTTGGTCTTTCTCCCTCCTCCTTCTCCCCCGCCCCTCGTCATCGCCCCAGCGCCCTCCTTTCCCTCCTCCTTTCCCTCCTCCGCCTCCGCCTCCGCCTCCGCCTCCTCCTCCTCCTCCTCCTCCTCCTCCTCCTCCTCCTTCTCATCATCATCATCATCATCATCATCATCATCATCATCATCATCATCATCATCATCATCATCATCATCATCATCATCAGCAGCAGCATCATCAGCATCATCATCAGCATCAGCATCATCATCATCATCATCATCATCATCATCATCATCATCATCATCATCATCATCATCATCATCATCATCAGCATCATCATCATCATCATCATCAACATCATCCTTCTCCTCCTCTCCCCCCCTCGAGGGGTGCTCGCGCACGCACACGCACGCACGCACGCACGCACGCACGCACGCACGCACGCACGCACGCACACACACCACACACACACACACACACGCACACGCACACGCACACGCACACGCGCACGCACACTTACTTTTGGCATTGTCGCGGCAGCGCGCGCAACGGCGCTGCGTAGTGCAGCTCGAGCGTGAGCGAGACGCACGCGGGCTGGCCCACCTCACGCGGCGTGGAGATACCGCATCCACCCATAGGGGATCAGCAGTTTCTCTCACGAAGGGGCCGTCGCGAGGAGAGCAGGAGGGGGAGGAGGTGGAGGAGGAGGAGGAGGAGGAGGAGGAGGAGGAGGAGGAGGAGGAGGAGGAGGAGGAGGAGGAGGGAGGGAGGAGGAGGGGAGGAGGGGGAGGAGGGGGAGGAGGGGAGGAGAGGGGGGAGGGGGGAGGAGGAGGAGGAGGAGGAAGAGGAGGAGGGAGGAGGAGGAGGGGGAGGGAAGGAGGAGGAGGAGGAGGAGCAGAGAGGGGAGAGGGGGGAGACACGGAAAGGCGGGAGAAGAGCAGTGCACAGTCCAAACGCCATGGTGGCGCAGAGGCGGACCGCAACGGCGGAGCGCACAAACACACAACCGCACACATATTCAGATGTGTATATATTCATGTACGCACACGCACACAATCACAATCACCCACACACACACACACACTTTTTGGAGTCGCGGCCACACGCCTAGGTCAAGTCAAGCGGAATCGCGCGGGCTAGCCCGGCTCACGCAGCGTGGAGAAGTTTGACAAAAACACAACAAGTTCTCGTGTTCACCCCCTGCCCTTTCCCTTCGTTATCGTCCCCTCCCCCCTCCTGCCCCTCCTCGTCCTCCTTGCCCTCCTCTGCCTTGGTATGCTGGCGGGCGGATCCGCCCCGAAAACCTCGCGAAATGGCCAACCTCTGTCCGAGGGGTGCTCGGGGGTGGCTCGCCAGGGTCAATCTGGGGATCGTCGGAGGGATTGGGGGAGGGCAGCGCGAGAGAGAGAGAGAGAGAGAAAGAGAGAGAGAGAAAGAGAGAGAGAGAGAGAGAGAACGCGAGCGTGCGAGCGAGAGAGAAAGAGAGACAGCGAGGGGAGGGCAGGGTATCGCGGAGGGGCTGAGGGGAGGGGAGGGCATTGGAAATGAGACGGGGATCTGAAGAAAGAGGAGCGGTGGTTGAAAGGGAGGAGGCAGAGAGATCAAGAGGACAGGGGAGGATCCATAGTTTTCGTGTTATCGATAACGGTTCTGCCTTCGTTGCCCAGGCAGACCTCATCACCCAAGAGATCGAGGATCGGCCATGCGTGCGCGCACGTGCGCGGTATTGTTGCGAGCAGGCGTGCGTTTGTGCGCATGTGTATGCGCGCACGTGTGGCGCTCTCTCGTGCCTGCGCGTGAACGCACACGTTTCCATGCGTGTGCGTGTGCGTGCGTGTGTGTGTGTGTGTGTTTGTGTGTATGTGTGTGTGTGTGTTTGTGTGCGTGCGTGTGTACGTGTGTGTGTGCGTGTGTGCTTGTGCCACGCACGTTTTGCACCGGCCCAGGTGCCGCCGCCTGCCCAGCCGCTTGCCCGTGTTTGCCCCTTCGCCCTCCGGCCCCTTCGCTTGCCTCTGCTCTCCGCTCTGGCCCTGCCGCGCCTCGGCGCCCTCTCTGCCGCCCCGGCGCCCACGCCTGCTGCTGCGGTCGGGGCTCAGGAGACGGGGGTCAATGCAAACGGGGGTCAGCCAGGGCACCAAGTCCTGCAGGATCCTGCGAAGACCCCCTCTGGCTGACCCGGGGTAGCGAGCCGCTCGTGGCCGCGAGGCGACCGCGCATAGTGGCTGACCCGGGTTTGCGAAGCCCTGCGCTGCAGTTTTTGGTTTTTGCATTGCAGTTTTTTGGTGTCCTGCTGACCCGGGTCTGGATTGACCTGTGTCAGAAGATCCCCGATGCGGTCTATTCTAAAGTCGGGCGTGTCCCCCTACAGGGGGCTTGTCGACGAAAAATAAGAACTGCTCAAAAAATATTCCAAAATGGAAAAGAAATGCACAAAAACTAGTCCCCCGACCATTTCTCGACTATTTTTTGGGAGTTTCCCCTTGTAGAGGCACAGGCCCGACGTAAGTCTGCTCCCTTCCCGGGTCTGGATTGACCCGGGTCTGGATTGACCCGTGTCAGAAGATCCCCGATGCGGTCTGCTCCCTTCCCGCCCCCTCCCCAGCTTGCCTGCTTGCCTGCGCCCTCTCTGGGGCCGTGGTCTCCGCCCGCGCGCTCCCCTGCCTGCGTCGCAGGGGCCCCCGGGGCCAACGCTCGGGGCGGACAGGCTCAGGGGGCTGACGCATCGAATCAGGAGGGAAAAAAAAACACACAGACACAATTAATCGTCGATTCCCCAGAAAATATTGGAAAATATGGGAAGTAGGGGGGAAGACAAAAAACGAGAAGATATGGGGAAATATGGGGAAATATGGGAAGTGGGGGGCTAGCGTTAAGTCGGGCCTGTCCCCCTACAGGGAGATTTTCGACGAAAAATACAAGGCACCCCAAACATAGTCAAAAAATCATACAGAGATAGTCTGGGGACCATTTTTGGTGTATTTGTTTGCCTTCTTGGGGCATTTTTGGTGGATTTTTTATGTTTCGTCGAAAATCCCACTGTAGGGGGACACGCCCGACATAAGGCTAACGCATCGAAGCCCAGTCACTCATTCACCGCCCAGAAGGGCCCGACAGCCCACCCCGCCCAGGAGCGCGCGGCTTCGCTCTCGGGGGCTTGTCTCCGATCTTTCGGCGGCGATCGCCGATCGCCGAGCGAGTGCAGCTCGGTGTCCACCCCCGCCCCCCTGAGCCGGTCCATCCCTGAACTTCCCCGCTCGGCACGTTCTGCATCTGCTGCTCGGAGGTTCGGCTCGTGCAGGGCTGCCCGAGAGCCATCAGCTCTGCACGTGCCAACACGTAGGGTGCCCGATTAGCGCAGAGCGAAGCCCGCCTTTGTTGTCCTGGAGGTTTCGCTTCGCCATCGTGTCGGAGGAAACCGCTAACACTGAAGAAGATAATTTGTTGTTTGTGCGCCCGCAGACCACCAGAACTGCCTCTGGCCTGTGCGTCGGGCGTACGGTTGCTGTTCGCGCTGGCGCGCGCTGCCTGTGATCCGTTTTGATTTGCGGGCGAATTCTTGAACCTTTTTGTCGGTTGTAACGGGGCGCGAACAAACAGTGTGTGCGTGTACGCGCACGTGTGTGCATGCGCGTGGTAATCTCGCAAGTGTTATGCCTGGGCCGAAATGAAACACCCAGCTGCAAGGCAGAGGCAGGGCTGGGCGCAGGGCCAACACGTGAGGTGAGGAATCGTATCTGAGGCTTGCGCTCGTCATGTCCTGAATGTGTGAGCACCCTGCGTTCCACCCAAGTTTGAAGTATATTGGAAGACGTACAATGGTGATGAGTTCGCACTTCGCCGATGGTTCTGCACTTCGCCGACGGTGAGTACATCAGAATGTCTGGCGTGAGTACAGCCGGGGCCCTGAAGAAGGAACGCTTTTCGTTGGGGAGGGGCTCGGTGTTCCTTGATTGTTTTACAGTTTGCCTCGGGTTCCCCTTAGGTTGTTGTATGGGCAATCGAAATTTAACTTATGGAAAAGAGGGGCCTCGTTCCTTATTCAGGGTTCCTTAGGTCAACGCCCCGACTGTATACCGAATTGACCACATTCCGTAAACGCAATGCATGGTTGTTGACACTTGCGCATGTTGAAGAAGGGATGCTGTTCTATGCTTCAGCTCAAGACAAGGTTCGACGTGTTAGGAACGCTTCGTTCACTTGCACAGCATCCTGTGAACAGCGAGTGTGTAGGGCCCCTCATGGTGATGCGAGCAGGGGTACGGTTTCGGGGTCAGGGCAAGTTGTCCGCACGATGGTCTCATTGTCACATTTGGCTCCTCGACGTAGGTTCCACAATGTTTCTGTCGATTTGCCAACTGTCCCTCTGGCCTTGTTGTCGTGGAACTGCGAGCTGTCCAATCGTTGCTGGAATCGTTGCCATGCAGATCGTTGCCCTCGTTGCTTCGGTGATGTGATGCTCCAGTATCGGGCTGGCTGCCCGCTCCATCCTGGGATTGCTCCGTGTCGCCTCGTTCCCAGTCGTCTTCGTGCGAAGGAGCTCGAACAGATTATGAAGTTGAGCAAGACTCGCAGGAGCTTGTTGCTGGAGCTCCAGGGTGCAGTAGCTGGTGGACACAATCTCAGTGTTCCAGAATTCGCCATGCGATTTCTACGTGAGAAGGTGCTCGGGGACCAGTCGGACTAAAGGCACGGTAGTTGCCCTTTGCTTGTCCCCTTGAATAAGTAGACCATGAGGGAAGTGGAAGCAGTAGTAGTAGAGTTGTAGTAGCAGTAGCAGTAGCAGTAGCGGTAGCAGTAGCAGTAGCAGTAGCAGTAGCAGTAGCAGTAGTATTCATAGCCGTAGTTGTAGTAGTTGTTTTTTATTGTTGGTGGTATCGGTGGTGGTGGTGTTGGTGGTGGTGTTGTTGGTGGTGTTGTTGTGGTTGTTGTAAGTGGTGTTGTCGTTGTTGGTGTCGTTGTTGTTGTTGTTGTTGTTGGTGGTGGTGTTGCTGCTGTGGTTGTTGTTGGTGGTGTTGTTAGTGGGTGGTGCTGTTGGTGGTTGTGCTAGTGGTGTAGTTGTAGTTGTAGTCGCAGTAACAACATTAGTATGAATAGCAGTCGTACTATTAGTAGTATTGCTAGTACTTCTGGCGACGCCTACCATGAACCACCGCCGCCCCCCTGCCATTTGGAAACGCACATGACGTCCATGCGCCGAACGTTGGGCCAACGTCTGACCTAATTATTGAACTGTGTTTCCCCCCAGCAGTTGTGGAACCCCTTGGGGGAACACTCGGGAGAGAAAGAGAATTGAGGGGGACAGGGAGAAGAAGGAGGACGAGGAGGAGAAACGGGAAAAGGAGGCCTGTTGAGGCCGTCTTCGGGCTTCCGGGAGGCTTCTGGGAGCCTCTGGGGGGCGCCTCTGAGGGGCCTCTTAGGGGGGCTCCTGGAGCCTCTTGGGGGCATCCTGGAGCCCCTTAGGGGCCTCCTGGAGGCTCCTGGGGACCTGTAAGGGGCCCCTTGGCCTTCGGAGGCGGTCGTGGGGCCCTCTTCGGGCAGGCGTGGGTTCCTCTTCGGGCCTTTCTGAGCCATCTTGGAGGTCTGTGGGGCCGTCTTGGGGCCCTCCTCCCAGACATCGGGCGTCTCGAAAAAATCGAGACAGAGGTTTTCCACAGTTGTTGGTATCTCGGGGCCCCCGCCGGGCCTCGGGACCGTCAAACAACGATTCGGGATGAAAAACCGGTCCCAGGGAAGTGGTCGGGAGGTCGGGGGCCCGCGTCTCGAAAAAATCGAGACGACGGATGTCTGGGTTGGGCAGAATTGCTGCCCACTTGGGGGCATCTTGGGCTGTCTCTGGGCGATCTTGCAGGCATCTGGGGCCGTCGTGGAATCAATGATTCTGGCCTCATGGAGTTCCGCCTGCAGCCCTCCTGGGGCGTCTTGGGGGCTTCTCGGGCCGTCTGGAGGGCATATGTATTGTCTTGGGGCCATCTCGGGCCGTCTTGCGCCAGCATCTCCATCTTGTGAGGATGGCCCAGGCGAAACGATTGTTTTGGGCCGACAGGATGGAGCTCGCCCGGGTTTTGCCGTTGGGCCGGCGGGTCAGACCGGAGGCCGCTGGGAATTTTTGCAATGTTCGAGACGGTGCAATCCGCCGCCTCTTGTTGGCTTGCCACAGCGGCGCCCGGCGTGCTGGACCCTCGACGGTTTGGTGTTTTCTTTGCTCGTTCCAAAAGAACTCTCCCTGGGGCTTCGGCCCGTCCCACTGGCCACCCGAGAGGCGCGGAATTCTCAGAAGCATGTTCCCAAGACGGTTCGAGATGGGTTTCAACACTGCCAAGATGGGTTTCAAGACCGTCAAGATGGCCTCCAAGATGCCGCCAAGATGGCCAAGATGGCCTCCAAGACGGCCCAATAGGGGTCATGATGCTTCCAAGTCCGCCCAAGAAGCTTCCATAAAGGTCCAAGAGGGCCCAAGAGGCGCCCAAGCGGCCTCCAAGACGGTCCAAGAGGATTCCAAGAGGATTTCCAGGAAGGCCCGAAGAGGCCAAAATCGTTGATTTGTCTTAGGTTGTTTTAAAGATTTTGGCATTTGCTTGTTTTCGGCCTTCCGACAGCCCGAGACGGCCCAAGAGCCCCCAACGATCGCCACAAGATCGCCGAAGAGGCCTCGAAGATGGCCCCAGAACGGCCAAAGAGGCCCCCAATACCGCACCAGGAGGGTCCCAAGACGGCCCAAGAGGCATCCAAGACGCCCAAGATGGTCTCCAAGACGGCCCTGGAGCACCCCAAGGGGGCTTCCAGTCGGCCCAGAGAGGCCCCCCCAAGGCAGCTTCCGACGGCGTCAAACGGGCCAGGAGCCCACCACCACGGGCCAAGATGACTCTAAGATGGCCCAAGACGGCCCAAGGGGCCCACAAGAGCCCAGAGAGGCCCCCGAGACGGCTTCCGAGGGCGTCAGACGGTCCAGGGATGCCTTGAGACGGCCAAAGAGGCTCCTGAGAAGCCCCCAAAGGCCCCCAAGAGGCCCAAGGAGGCCCCCAAGATGTCCCCAAGAGGCTCCCAGGAAGCTCCCAGGAGGCCTCAAGAGTGCCCCCAGAGGCTCCCAAGATGCCCCCTCATATTCCTCCTCCTCCTCCTCCTCCTCCTCCTCCTCCGCATCCGAGCGCGTGGTCCGATAGTTTGGCAGAGTTCTTGCCACAACGCTCGGCCACATGGGCGTTTTCAAAAGGCTGGGGGCGGCGGTGATTCGCCGTAGGCGTCTCCGATAACCTAGCACGCCAAGCATCCTTGTAATCTCAGGGGGCGGCAGATCGAAGACGCCTACAGCGAATCACCGCCGCCCCCTGCCTTTTTGGAAGCGCCTGCGTAGCCGAAAGTTGGGTTTGAGCTTGGCCAAGCTATCGGGCCACGCGTTCCCGGGGTTTCCTGGAGGACGTCTTGGAGGGCTCTTGGGCCGTCTTGGAGGCCTCTGGCGGGCAGTCTAAGCCTATCTTCAGGCCATTTGGGGCCGCCTTGGGTGCATCTTGGGGCCATATTCGCCGTCTTGGAGGCCTTCTTGGCCGTCTTGGAGGCATCTTGGAGGCCATCTTGTCCGTCTTGGATGCCATCTTGGGCATCTTGGGGGCCTTTTGGGCCGTCTTGGGGTGTTGGGGCCCTCTCGGGGGTCTCTTGGGCAGTCATGGGGCTATCTTGGAGGCCTCTTGTGCGCTCTTGGGGCGATGTTGGAGACCTCTTGGGTCGTATTGGGTTGTCGGAAGGCCGAAAAGAAGCAATGCCCAAAAATTTCAAACACGTTAGGAAAACCATTGATTTTGGCCTCTGCGGGCACTCGTGGAGGACCTCTTGGAGGCCTCTTGGGCCGTCTTGGAGGCATCTTGGACCCTCTGGGACCGTCTTGGAAGCCATCTTGGACCATCTTAGGCGGACTTGGAAGCCATCTTGGGCCATCTTGCCCGTCTTGGAGGCATCTTGGAGTCCATTTGGGGCCATCTTGGGCATGAAAGGCACTGACATGTGCAGTTTGGGGTCTGTTCGGGTGGCTGGCGGGACGGGCCGAAGCCCCAGTGAGCTGCTCGAGCAAGACCAAAATCGAGAGGGTTTAGCACGCAGGGCACCCCTGTGGCAAGCCAACAGAGGCGGCGGACATCTGACCCCGTTCGGAAGCCGTCTCTGAGGCCTCTCGGAGCCGACTTCGGGCCCTCATGGGACGTTTCAGAGCCGTCTTCGAGGCAATCTAGGCGTCTTGGAGGACTCTTGGATCGTCTTGGGGCCTTCTCGGGGCCGTCTTGGGCTTCTTGGGCTGTCATGGGGCCATCTTGGAGGGCTCGCGGGCGATCTTGGAGCTATATTTTGTGTCGCTTGGGCCGTCTTGGGCCGTCGGAGAGCTGAAAATAAGCAAATGTCAAAACCCTTCAAAAACTCAAAGAAAATTAATGATGTTGGCCCTTTCGGGCCTTCCTGGAAGACGTCTTGGAGGACTCCTGGGCCGTCTTGGAGGCCTCTTGCGGGCCGTTTGGGCAGTCTTAGGCCATTTTGAGGCCATTTTGGGCAGTCTTGGGTGCATCTTGGGGCCGTCTTTGCCGACTTGGAGGCCATCTTGGCCGTCTTGGAGGCATCTTGAAGGTCATCTTGGCCGTCCGAAAGTCATTTTGACCCTTTCTGGCCCTCCTGGAGGACGTCTTGGAGGTCTCTTGGGCCGTCGTGGAGGCCTCTTGCGGGCCTTTTGGGCAGTCTAAGGCCATCTTGAGGCCATCTGGGGCCGTCTTCGGTGCATCTTGGGGCCATCTTCGTTGTTTTGGAGGCCTTCTTGGCTGTCTTGGAGGCCATTGTGGCCGTCTTTGAGGCCATCTTCGGCGTCTGCGGGGCCGGCCATCTTGGGCCGTTTGGGGCTCTTCTTGTGGCCCTCTTGGGGGCCTCTTGGGCTGTCATGGGGCCATCTTGGAGGCATCTTGGGCGCTCTTGGGGCGATGATGGGGGCCTTTTGGGCCGTCGGAGAGGTGATAAGAACCTTTCGGAAAATCAATGATTGTTGCCCTGTCGGGCCTTCCTGGAGGGCGTCTTGGAGGCCTCTTGGTGGGCTCTTGGCCAGTCTGAGGTCATCTTGGAGCCATCTGGGGCCGTCTTGGAGGCTTCTTGGACGAACTTGAAAGCATCTTGGACTCTCTCGGGCCGTCTTGGAAGCCATCTTGGAGGCCATCTTGGGCGACCATCTTAGAGGCCATCGTGAGCCATCTTGGAGAATTTTGTTGGGTCGTTGAGGTGTTTGATGCTGCTTTGTGCGGCCTTTCGGGTGGCCGGCGGGACGGGCCGAAGCCCCAGTGAGAGTTCTGTTGGGAAAAGAACCAAAACCAAAAGCGAAAGGATTCAGCACGCCGGGTACCCCTGTGGCAGGCCAACAGGGGGCGGCGGATCGAAGACGACTACGGCGAATCACCGCCGCCCCCCGCCTTGTAGGATCGCCCATGTGGCCGAGCGTTATGGTAAAAACTCTGCGTAGGTATCGGGCCATGTGTTCCCCCAACCGTTGTGGAAACCCTTCGGGGAACACTTGGGGGAGGATGGCGGGGAAGATCAAGAGGAGGCGGAGGAGGAGGTGGTGGAGGAGGAGGAGGAGGAGGAGGAGGAGTGGAAGGCGGGGGCATCTTGGGAGGGTCTGGGGACACTGTTGGGGCTTCCTAG